CTGCTGGCTGGGGGCGGCTGGCTACTGGCTGCTGGCCTTTTCGTGGTAACAAAATGTGTCTGAGTCCTGTGTTAGTGGATATGGTTGGCATGCCCACAGTTGAGTGTTTCAGACATTGCAAATTGTGACCAGGCAGCCAACTCACCAAGCTGTGGCTGTGTTAATTCAAGCTGCCCTTCTGGCGTACAATCATTTCGTCCTCATCTTCCTCCCCACACACCAGCACTCAAAAATTGGATCCACAGGCCTGCACTAAAGCTGCCCTTGGGAAGGAAAGCCAGGTGGCCACACCCACAGGGGGCCTCTTCTTTTCTTTTCTTTTTTTAATTGAGTTTATTGGTACTTTTTAAGTATACAGTACAGTGACATTCATCATTGTGATCTTACACCTTTACATGATAGATTTTGGTTCTCATTTTTCCACATACCCCTACCCTCCCTTCACCCCCTCAACCCTTGTAGTACTCAGTGGGGTTGTAACCATCTGTGCTTGTGTGTCCCTGCTTCAGATCCTGTACCGGGCCAAAGATCTGGATCCTGAGCCCAGAACTCACATCGTGAGAGGGAACCACACACAGTCCGCACTGCTGGCCGGCCTGCGCAAGTTTGTGCTGTACGAGCTCCAGGTGCTGGCATTCACCCGCATTGGAAATGGGGTCTCCAGCTCACCCGTCATCCTTGAGCGCACCAAAGATGATGGTATGTGTGGCACTGGTGCCCGCACTGGCCTCACTCCCCCCACCCCTGGGTTTGCTTTGCCAATCCAAACAATTTGGATTGCGGTCATTTTAAAAGTAATTTTCCAACCACTTTTTTTTTTCAGTTGAAGGAAACAAAACAAAATTATTTTTCAGTCACTGAGCATTTATATGGCCAATTTCAGCCTGGAGTGGATTTTTACAGCCTGATTATGAAGCTATGCAGAATTTCAGTCATAACTCTGCTGTGGACAGTGCTGGCGAGAGGTGGGCTGGGCTGAGCCACTCCTCTTATGCTGTCTGCTCAAATCTGGTTAAAAGTCCACTCTGGACAAACCGGCCCCAGTGTTCCTGGGACTTCTGGGTCTCACTGCTTGTAGCATGTGAGATAATCGCCGGTTCTCATGTACAGAGCTGTGTGCCTGAGAGCTCCCCAGGTCCCTGGGCACCTATGTTTTCTGACTAAGAGCACATAGGGCAGCTTTGTTTTTATGGAAGTCTAAATCATCAGAAAATATGTTTTTCCACCTTGCAGATGTCAAACCTTTAAAGGTTACATCCTTTACATTTTCAATATTAAACAGACTGTAATGAAGATGTCAGGGGAAAATACTGATCTCCCCACAACACCCACGTCAGGATCAAAGGCATCTGACAGAAGGGAAATGACTCTAGATTTCCTTAAGCATCTTTCTGAAGTCACCATTGATTCCAGACATCCTCTACCTGCTGGGCAGGAACTGTTCTCTGTTGGTTCTTGGAAAGCATGGGCATTTTCTTCCCCAGCTCAGGGCTGCAGGGAGGGTAAGCACCCAGCAGGGGAAAGGGGAAGTGGGCATCGGCAGGGTTTTGTGGAGAGGGGAAGCAGACGTCACTGCATTGCCACCTGCATGGCATTCCCATGTGCTTCAGGTTGTGTTCCAGGGAGAAGCCAGAGGGCCTTTTTAGAAACTGTTCCTCCACACTGGCTCCACCACCCTCCTCTTCCTCAAAGGCACATTGCTACTTAGTACAGACATGTCACTCCTCCCTCTCACTTCTGTGTCATGCAGATGACAGGCCTTGGCATGGCCCAGATCATTGCTTCCCATATGTACCAATCTTCAGCCTCCTTCAGACATTTTTTTGTCCCAAAGATAGGCTTCATGACACACATTCAAAGTTGAAAATGTTGTTTCAGCTTAATACCCAGAGGCAGAATTCAGCCGCCTGAATGACCTCTTCACACACCACTGTTTCTGTATCATTGCTCTGTACGCACTGCCTCTCACTAAGGAACCAGTCCATGATTAGAGTCCTAGGAGAGGTCTCACTCTGCCACACACCACCTGGCCTGTGTGCTTAAGCAAGTATATTTCAGAAGGGTCATGGCCCTGTTACTCAATGGTTGCACCATACAGGGCTGCTTTGTGAATTATCGGTGTGCCAAACTACCCAAAAGAATTATTCTATGCATTTGTGTACATCAACTCTTCAGTTTCCAGGACAAGGCAGGAGGAAGGTGACATGCACAAGAGGAAAAGCACTGATGCCAGCATGCTTTTTCATCAGGAGCTGTGACCTCCATTACTAGTGGAAGGGATTTGAGGCCACCTTGTCTAACACCACTCTGCAGAGGTCGTGCCCAGCAGAGAATCTGAGCTCAGAGTAGTGGGGTTTTTACTTTCAACCTGATGGACACTCTTTTAGCTTTAGAGAGTGCTATCTGTGTTCCCACTGTTCCTAGCATAGTTCATGAGCAGTGCTTTCAGAACTTGGAAGATGGGCAGGATCCAAAATGAGGTGAGCTCCCAACATTGGTAGGGAGCCACACAGAGCAAGTTGTGTTCTAAAAGTCAGTCATTCATTGGAGACTCGGGCATGTTCCTCTCATGAACAGCATCTCACTGTGTTTCCCCACAGCCCCAGGCCCCCCAGTGAGGCTGGTTTTCCCCGAAGTACGGCTCACCTCGGTGCGGATCGTGTGGCAGCCCCCAGAGGAGCCCAATGGAGTGATTCTGGGTAAGGAGCCGAAGGGAGGAAAGGAGAAAATCCCACTTGGATGCTTTCTTCTGTTTCTATTAGGTAGATTTTGGGGGTAAAAACAAAGCTTTGCAGTAGAGCTTTTTGTGGGTGGGATTTACATTTTATTAACCCAGAATTTCTGCCATTTGTTCATAGTTTGTGGCAATGCCCTTTGTAATGAGCCTTTGTCCACCATGTGTCTAGGAAGGAGCAGGCCATTTTCCCAAAAATGCAGATCTGCGCCTTGTTCTTGAATTCCTGGGAACAGCTCTCTTCTCCTGTGAGGCTTGTACCTGGTCCTACAGGGAAGCTGCTGGGGGCAAGTGTAAGCCTCAGAGTCCCAAGACCACGTTCACATTGAACTTTTCACTCAGAGAAACAACTCTGATAACATTAATGAAAAGCTTTAATTTTTCCCAGCTCCCCAAAGGTAGCACATTATATGTTAAAATATCACCAATTCCTCTGTTTACCCTTTCACCAAAATCGAAGACTCTGTGTGACAGGCATTGTATGCATATTGGGAAGTGGGAATGGATAGTGGGCATCCTTGGGATGCCCGTGGCCTCATCAGGCAATGACACAAGTGACAAGACATTCACTGAATGCCCCACAAGCTGTTCATGGGACAAGGGTCTCAGTGGCAGGGTCTCACAGTGAAGTCAGCTTTTGATCTGGGTCCCAAGGGGAGGTGGTTTCTGCAGGCCTGGAGGAAAGGAGGGGGTACCTGAACAATCCCAGGCTGCACTGGGCTGGGCCAGGCCAGGACCTGCAGTGAGGGCCCTGCTGTGCCCTGGAGAGTGCAGCCCAGTTTAAAGTGGACACTTAAGGGTAACAGTACCCGGTAAAGAATATTGCTCCAAATCTAGGTCAGCACTCAGCTGTGACATTCACCCCATCCTTACACACAGGAGACCCCCATTCAGTTAGCTTATGTTCTAGATGATTTCTGCTAAAACCATAAATCTGACTTTACAAACAAGTCACCATTTTTACCTGCTTGTGATATTGCAGTCTAGAATATAGTTTGAAAAATGTGCTTTACTTTACTTAAAAAAAAAAGTTTGAAGCTCTATTCTGAGCACAGAGGGGAGTCATCTGAGGACTCTGGGCAGGAAAGTGACACAGTCAGGTTTGTCTTCTGGGTGACAACTTTGGCAGTCAAGAGAAGGCAGATATCTATGCAGCACTTGATTTGTTAAGTTGGTGGGTAGTGCTCTTATGTCTTCCACACAGAAAGACTGCGGCCTGTTTTCACTGTGGCCTTCCTCTGGGATTCCTGGAGCTGCCAGGTAGAAGAATTTCTACAAGTACGGCATTTCTGACTTAGGAGACCTTTGGACTCACAGGTGCTTGCTGCCCAAATCACAGTGATGAGCCATGGGAACCCTTTTGGGAGGGACCATTTCAGGGAGCATGGCCAGGGCAGGGAGGCCAACCCTCTGCACAGCACCTGGCACAGCCTCTTCTGGAACAAGCAGGGTTGGGTATCTGAGTAGCCAGGAGTTATCCCCAGCACACCATGACAAAACAGGAGACAGTTCCAGAGGTGGAGAATGGATTTTTGATCTGTAACGTACTGGAGTTCCCAGAACTGTTCTCTGAGAGGGAGCAGCCCTCACGACCTCCCAGCCTCTCCTGACTCTCTGGCCAACTTACATATGTCGCAACCACAGTGCTTGCAAGGTCAGTTCTGACTGTGTGACAGGCATGCATCCAGCTGTCCTGCCACCCGAGAAACCTGTGCACTGATCTGTGTCAAAGTCTTCTTCACAAAGATGACAGTCTCTGGCCTGGACCAGTTCTGCCTGTAGAGACCCCTTCTGCAGAACCTCTGTTTCTCCTGCAAGATGTGTGCAGATGTCCTCTTGGTCCATTTCTGCAGCTGTGATTGAATACCACAGACTGGATGATTTATGAAAAATAAAAGTGTATTTAGCTCAGGTTCACAGTGCTTCTATAATCAGGAAAACAAATGTTAGAGACATCCCAAAAAGTAAATGACAAGCTTTAAAAACGAACTGAGTCCTATTTGGACAGTGAGACTGGGTCCAAAGAGCTTCCAGCTGCCTCTAGTTCAAGAGAAATTATGGGCTATTAAACACAATATTAAAGCTGGATTTCTAAGAATGAAGGTTTGCTTGGGTTCTGGGGACCGTGAGGTACAAAGTGGAGGAGGGGCCTTCCCAGTGGAGTGAGGGCTTTGTCATGGGGCACTCTTTAGAGTTCCAAGGCAGCACAGGGCATCAAATTGTGAGGGGTGTGTGTGATAGAGTGCTGAATGGGCCTTGTTGTGTTTTGAGACAAGGTCTCACTAAGTCACTGAGTTGCCCAGGCTGGACTGAACCTATGATCCTCTTACCTCAGCCTCCCAGAGTGCTGGGACTCCAGGCATGCACCACCACACCCAGCCACACCGGCTTTTCTAACAGGCCCCTCTCCAGATGAACCATTAATCCATGAATATATTTCCCATTTGTGACAGCAGGGCCCTCATCATCTCATAAGGGCCTCACCTACTTCCACCTCTTTGTACTCGAGGTGCGGGGGCAACTTTCACTCTGAACTTGTGGTTCGCATCCTCTCAGCTACAGCTTCGCTCGCCCCTCCTTCCGTGTGTAGCTCTCTAGCCCCAGAGAGGGCACAGTGGGCGCTCTTCTCAGCACAGCATGAGTCTCACTGTCTGGATGGGATTCAGCTTACTTTCAGATCTTATTATTTACTTTTCAGGGAGTCTTTAACATTTGTTTTTCAGATTATGAAAGCACTCTAAAATTAAATTTAGGCAACAATGACATACCAGTCCACATTAATCAGAACAGTCTGATGACATCAAGTAGACACGAGGGTGTGGGGGACCGGGACTCCTAGACACCCTGGCTGGGACTGTGGCCTGTGCAGCCCCTGGAGAGCAGTCTGGCTGTATGGGGGAAGATAGTCATGCTCATGCTTTCTGTTCCTGTCAGTGTCCACTGCCAGGCCATATCCCCAGGACTCCTGCACACGTACACAGAGCTCTCCCCTGCAGTTTTGATTAAAGGGTAAAGTAGAAAGCAGCCATCATCCTCTACAGTTTGTGGGGCATGGATGTGGGGCTTCCTGTTGTGTGTCTCCTGGGTTTTATGCACTATGTTGTGGATGGGCAGGGTGGGAAAGTGGGTGGGGTTTCAGACTCAGCAGCCACTCTGGGGTTCAGACCTCAGCCTGCAGTTCACTTGCTGAGTAAAGTTATGCAAGTCACTCGGCATTTTTCGAATCCCTCAGAGAGAAATAACACTGTGCTTCCCTTATTGAATCAAATGGGCTGCATATAGTCAGCACACAGTAAATGTTGATTCATCACCTCCAGCCTGAGGCCAAGTGGACCAGGCTGGCTTACAGGCCTCTGAATCGTCCCTGACTTGGCCCAGTTCTGGTATTTTTCTCCGTGTGCCCCCAGTGGTATGTTGTGCTGACTTGTTCTCTGTTGCTCTGGTTACTGAAGCCAGGGCTTCTTGCTGACAAGAGAGGAAATAAAACCTAGAAAGGCAATTTGGGCAGCAAAATGATCCTGATGTGAACTGAGATGCTGAAGTTTTGGTTTGCAGTCCATGGGTGGGTGGTCATTGAAAACCATAAAATCCCATGTAAGGAGAAGATAATGTTGAAATACTTCAAGCACCCCACCTATGCCAAACAGATGCTACATCAGACTGTGCTGGGTCTACCTGTAAAGCAGAAAGCATCTCATTTAAGCCTGTGTTGTGGTAATGGCATTTAGTTGTAACAGATGTTGTTGGGGTAGCCTGTCACTGATACGTTATTACACCCAGCACACTCAATCGTAGATGTCGTAGGAAAGATGGGAAAACAGTTTCTAAAGATCCAAGTCGGTGTTGATGGGGGAGAAAGGAAACCATCTCTTCGCATGACTCACTTTACATCTGGAGACCTTGAATCAATGTTCCCACCCTGGCAGCGTGGCCTTCTGACTGTATAAACACCTCTGTGGCTGGTGCTTTTGTAATCTATATCAAAACATGTTCTTGCATTTCCAAAAGAGATTAACAGCACAAAACACTGGCAGGTACCTGGAGGGAAAAACACTTGCTTATTTGCGTAAATATTTTACTATGGAGAGCTTTTAGTGTTTAGAGCCTTCCTTAGGGGAATGCACGGAGCCACCTGAATACAGTCATCCCTCCTCACTTGCCAGACTGCTCCTCAAGTCTGCTCCACCAAACACTCTGGATTCTTCCTCTGCCACTGCCTTGTCAGAAGGCCTTCTGCCCTTGCAGGGTCTGACATTTACCTAGAGCTTGTTACTGAGGGTATAGGAAACTCTACCGAGAATTAGGAGCTCAGATGAATATGACCCATGTCTGCATATTCCTCTTTTGGATCCACCATAACAATCTGACTCAGTCAGGGCTGCCCAGGGCCATTTGGCTGCTTATGGGTTCCTTGACCTCTTCCAGGTGGTTGGCAGGGATGTAACTGTCTTCCAGTGGCAATTGAGGGGTCAGGTACACTGCTGTGCTAGTGGTATGGTTTTGGGTGCCTGAGGATTGTGGCAACTCTCAGGCTGATGCTCTTTGTGTGCTGGGTAAGAGCACTACCCATGCAAGGTTTGCAGCCACCTTTAATGTCTGGACAAAATCCCAAAAGGATGTGCCAGCTGTCTGGCATCGGGCTTCAAGTGACTGAGACAACTTCTTGACAGAGACATGCATCTTCTTAGCATCTCTTCTTTGTGTCTCCCACACTGGACTGTGGAAGCTGTCGCATGCTGGCAACAAGCACCCTTTATCTAATTCTGTAGGTGTGTGGTGCTCCCTTCATATCCAGGTATATTCAGAAACCTGTGTCAACCTCACACTCGGTGTTTTTAATCTTCGCTTTGGATCAATGCTCCCCGTGCTTGGCCTTGTTCCTTTGATGCCTATATTATCATAATTCACCCATAACCTTAAACACAGGGCCTCTCTCAGGCCTTGCCTGACTCCTCCTATTGATTC